CCCCAAAACCCCAAAACCCCAAAACCCCAATAATAATTTTCAGGGTTGAAGACAAAATGGAGGTTCGATTGTCATGAATACATGGTCAAGGCTAGGAGCTAACTAACCTCATTCTGTGCATCGAATTATACCTCAATATGTGCTGAAGCTTTGGCAGATAAACTACTGTGAAATAGACTTGTGCGAGGGTATGGGGGAACCTTAGTCCAATTTTAGTAACTAACCTATTAATTGTACTGATCCTAGATCATTATCTTGTAAAATCTGTCTAGCTTCAGATCTATTGATTTTGCACAGAATAATATTTATTTCTGAGAGAGTCAGCTTTAAATCTTCTGAGGTTGCAAGGCTTTGGATTAAATATGTAAACTCTTGAGGGTTATTCCCCCAATCGCAATTATCTGAGCCTCCTCAATAACTTAGATTTATCTTTGCGATTTGGGTGTTTATAAGTGCTTTTGAAAGATCAAACACATAAGGAACTCAAAGCTTGGATGAAAGTATTCTGAAACATTTAACATGTTTGAAAGAAGCTAATAATCTTTTTAATTGATGTCTATTTAGTTTCAGCCTGCTGAAAAACACATCTTTCAAGACTCTGTGGCCAAGTCTCATAATAGAATTGAAATACTTCGAGATATTAGTCTTCATTCCAAACTTTCCAATAAATGCAAACTCATTCACTTCAATCGGGAATGAAGTGCTTAGGAACTTACTAATATATTTATGACCATTGCTGGACTGGTCACAAGTTATCGCATTATAGGTAAAGAATGAGATTGACCCGACCTTCCTTATAAACTCTTTATCTTTTGGTTGGCCAAAAAACAGTCGGAATTCAACTTTGGTGTCGAATGAAGCCAGACCTTCCTTGTTTAATCTAATTTGTTCAAAGTCAGAATAAGAACAAAGGTCTTTGAAAACCTGATGATCCTTCTTTCTCTCCTTTTTCAAAGTAGATTCTTCATGTCTAAATTATTAAGAACAGTCATGGACCAAATCCCATGAGTGATATTAAGGAACAGCCCGCCTAGATTTACTAGAACTTTGAAGCCCTGCAACCCTGGTGCGGACATAGGCCTGTTCTAACTAACCAAGCTTCAGCACAGGCTTTGATCCTTGCCAAAGCAAGCTAACTGAGCTCCCATTTAGATCTCAATTGAAGATCCTTGTGCTTGACTAACTGAAGGAGTGCACTTACCCTCACTTTAAGTGGGTCTGGGCCTCAAGATCCTGAACTGGTCCCTCCATTTTATGGTATCTTTATAAATTATCAATATATCCCTCACCCTCTGGGGTTTTGGGGTTTTGGGGTTTTGGGG